TTCTGATGCTTTCTGTTTTGTCAGATCATGTGGTATTTCTTTATGTCCCTCCCTCTGTAAATCTAATATTTGTATATTTTTTAAGCATTGAACATTTCTTCAAAGTGCTGCTTAAAATACTTTTAACTGTAAATATTTTTTTTTATTAAAAATGTGGAATTTATTATTCTGCAGTTCACAGAATATTGTACATATTGAGCTACAGATCTAAATACTAGATTTAAATAATAGTTTGTGAATTTAGTCAATATGCCAACTCAGATTCTGAAAAAAAAAAGGCAATAGAAAAAAAAAAAGATAATTTGAACTGTCACTAAAGTGGTCTAATCGTGTCATTATGTATAGCATAAGTACCTGTGAACAGCAATGACCGATGTAAACAGTCTTGGACTTCCTGGGACCACATTGGTGAATATGAACTCAAATCTAGTGTTATTAGATTTGGTTAATATGTAAAGCGCTTCAGTCTGACCTCTCAGTTTCTGAAAAAAAGAGGGAATTTGACATCATCCATATGAGCCAGCTAAAAGAATGTGAGGAAAACATGCATCAAGATGACTCACTGAATTTGCTGTCCTCGTGGTGATATTAATAATGCAGTTGTATCCCACAGCTGTTAATAAATAAAAATAGAAGACAAATAAAAAGGTAAATATAAAAGACAAGATGAGTCAGAGAATGACTCCTCAGTGACCAACTGATCAACTGAGCTGTTAAGCAGCTCTCTGATTCGTGAATGATTACATCACAAATTAAGAATTTGTTTTACTTAAAGGGGTCATATGATGCGATTTCAATTTTTTCCTTTCTCTTTGGAGTGTTACAAGCTCTTGGTGCATAAAGAAGATCTGTAAAGTTGCAAAGACTAAAGTCTCAAATCCAAAGAGATATTCTTTATAAAAGTTAAGTTATCGCTTCGTCATGTCTAGAGCTGATTCGTGCTGGTCGCTGAGGGAATACTACAACTTTGCGCTGTGGATCACCAGATCGGCTTTCACCGTGGACGGAGCGGAGTCCAGCCCGGGGTCGTCACATGTGGTTGCCGCAGGCATCACAGTATGGTAAGGAGCGTAACATTTCCATCACACGCTTGAGGTATCCGGCCAATCACAACGCACTGGATAGCTGGCCAATCAGAGCACACCTCGCTTTTCAGACCGATGAGCTTTGTAAAAATCGACACGTTTCAGAAAGGCGGGGCATAGAGGAGAAACAATAATGTACAGTATGTGGAAAATAATGTGTTTTTTTAACCTTAAACCGCATAAACACATTTCAATACACCAAATACACAGAATAATGTTCTTTTTAGCAGCATCATATGACCCCTTTAAAAACAAGAAAAGAATCAAAATGATGTTTTATGAGTGCGCTTCATCTGTCCAGTGCAATAAAAGATGTAACGCTCACACAAGTTGACTCTTGGTAGTGCCAGTGAATGCCAGATTATCCTCAAATTGGTCACCAGGAGTCTTCCTGTATAAAGACAAAACAAGATGTCCCAATTATTGCAACTTAATATACATAAAGGTAACAAGGCTGAAATAATACTTTTAATCACCTCTGTCACCATTATTTCCCTTTGTGTCCTCGATTGAATCCAGGCAGTCGATAAGCGCTTCACCTGGTCTGGTTTTCATCTGCCTTAAATCAGACATAAAATCACTTGCTTCGGTCTGAGAGGAGAATAAAATACTAAATGGTTCATAAAAAAAAAATATATAAAAAAACAGGCCCACATAAAAAAGGTAATAATATGCCTTGAATGTATTATGTTTATTTGATATGTATTTAATGATATTTTATAATTAGATATATGTAATATTCAGTGTTATTTTAATATTACTTAGATACAATGACAGTTTTTATTCAGATTTTAAATGAGCTTTTATGTTTATATTTTCAGTTTTAATTTAAATTGGAGTTGTAGTTTTTGTTTATCTAATATTCATATGTTTCATCTTTATTTGAATTAACACACGTTTTTAATAGTTTTGTTATAATTTAGTTAACAATAATACTCCGGGTATTAGTTTATAAACTGTAAACTTTACTGATCCGAGAGAATGTTAAAACCTTTCAAGATCATTTTATCTCTTTCATTCACCGACTGTGATTACAACATCTGTCGACGTGTAGCACAAAATATCCTCCAAGTTCACAATTAATGTAACGTTATCTGATTTAATAAATGAACGTCATTAGCTTCTGAGCTAGCAGATTAGCCTGGGGACTTACTGCTGAGTAATGTCAAATCTCACGTCTCTGTCCTCCCAGAGTGCGTCCAACACCGACGCCATCACCAGTCCTTACTGTCAGCGCTTCACACGCGAATTAAACCAAAGTAAATATGTTTTTCCTTCGATAATATTGACTGAAACTCAGTCGCTCTGTAAGAGGATTTAGCGCAGAGCGTCTTCGCGTCACCACGGTAACATCCGTGAGTACGGCGGGCCGGAAGGGACAAACCGCGATTATCTAAAAGTAGATTTATCATGCTTGCTATATTACCTGTAAATTTGTAGGCTATATGGTCATATTATAACAATAGCTCTCATGAGTAATATGTGTTTAAATCAGCAGTCTATGTGGGTCTATCTATCTATCTATCGTTCTATCTATCGTTCTATCGTTCTATCTATCGTTCTGTCTATCATCCTGTCCATCTATCTATCGTTCTATCGTTCTATCATTCTATCATTCTATCTATCGTTCTATCTATCGTTCTATCGTTCTATCTATCGTTCTGTCTATCATCCTGTCCATCTATCTATCGTTCTATCGTTCTATCATTCTATCATTCTATCTATCGTTCTATCTATCGTTCTATCGTTCTATCTATCGTTCTGTCTATCATCCTGTCCATCTATCTATCGTTCTATCGTTCTATCATTCTATCATTCTATCTATCGTTCTATCTATCGTTCTATCGTTCTATCTATCGTTCTGTCTATCATCCTGTCCATCTATCTATCGTTCTATCGTTCTATCATTCTATCATTCTATCTATCGTTCTATCTATCGTTCTATCGTTCTATCTATCGTTCTGTCTATCATCCTGTCCATCTATCTATCGTTCTATCGTTCTATCATTCTATCATTCTATCTATCGTTCTATCTATCGTTCTATCGTTCTATCTATCGTTCTGTCTATCATCCTGTCCATCTATCTATCGTTCTATCGTTCTATCATTCTATCATTCTATCTATCGTTCTATCTATCGTTCTATCGTTCTATCTATCGTTCTGTCTATCATCCTGTCCATCTATCTATCGTTCTATCGTTCTATCATTCTATCATTCTATCTATCGTTCTATCTATCGTTCTATCGTTCTATCTATCGTTCTGTCTATCATCCTGTCCATCTATCTATCGTTCTATCGTTCTATCATTCTATCATTCTATCTATCGTTCTATCTATCGTTCTATCGTTCTATCTATCGTTCTGTCTATCATCCTGTCCATCTATCTATCGTTCTATCGTTCTATCATTCTATCATTCTATCTATCGTTCTATCTATCGTTCTATCGTTCTATCTATCGTTCTGTCTATCATCCTGTCCATCTATCTATCGTTCTATCGTTCTATCATTCTATCATTCTATCTATCGTTCTATCTATCGTTCTATCGTTCTATCTATCGTTCTGTCTATCATCCTGTCCATCTATCTATCGTTCTATCGTTCTATCATTCTATCATTCTATCTATCGTTCTATCTATCGTTCTATCGTTCTATCTATCGTTCTGTCTATCATCCTGTCCATCTATCTATCGTTCTATCGTTCTATCATTCTATCATTCTATCTATCGTTCTATCTATCGTTCTATCGTTCTATCTATCGTTCTGTCTATCATCCTGTCCATCTATCTATCGTTCTATCGTTCTATCATTCTATCATTCTATCTATCGTTCTATCTATCGTTCTATCGTTCTATCTATCGTTCTGTCTATCATCCTGTCCATCTATCTATCGTTCTATCGTTCTATCATTCTATCATTCTATCTATCGTTCTATCTATCGTTCTATCGTTCTATCTATCGTTCTGTCTATCATCCTGTCCATCTATCTATCGTTCTATCGTTCTATCATTCTATCATTCTATCTATCGTTCTATCTATCGTTCTATCGTTCTATCTATCGTTCTGTCTATCATCCTGTCCATCTATCTATCGTTCTATCGTTCTATCATTCTATCATTCTATCTATCGTTCTATCTATCGTTCTATCGTTCTATCTATCGTTCTGTCTATCATCCTGTCCATCTATCTATCGTTCTATCGTTCTATCATTCTATCATTCTATCTATCGTTCTATCTATCGTTCTATCGTTCTATCTATCGTTCTGTCTATCATCCTGTCCATCTATCTATCGTTCTATCGTTCTATCATTCTATCATTCTATCTATCGTTCTATCTATCGTTCTATCGTTCTATCTATCGTTCTGTCTATCATCCTGTCCATCTATCTATCGTTCTATCGTTCTATCATTCTATCATTCTATCTATCGTTCTATCTATCGTTCTATCGTTCTATCTATCGTTCTGTCTATCATCCTGTCCATCTATCTATCGTTCTATCGTTCTATCATTCTATCATTCTATCTATCGTTCTATCTATCGTTCTATCGTTCTATCTATCGTTCTGTCTATCATCCTGTCCATCTATCTATCTATCGTTCTATCTATCTATCTATCTATCGTTCTACCATTCTATCGTTCTGTCTATCATCCTGTCCATCTATCTATCTATCTATCTATCGTTCTATCGTTCTATCTATCTATCATTCTATCTATCTATCTATCGTTGTATCTATCTATCTCTTATGTTTTCTCGTTCAGTAACAAGCACAAAGTTAGACATCATTATTAACCAAACATTTTATTCAAGAATTCCACAAAAGAACACATTCAAAAATGTCATTTGTATAAAACAGTCAAAAAAATTGTCTACAATTCAATAACAACTTATTTCAGACAACGGTTAGAAAAGGGTTGGTTCATTAAAAAAGGCAAACATTGTTTTGAATAAAAAAATTCAGGATTCTATTTTGTCTGAATATTATTATAAAGCTACTGTGACACATGAAAAAGAATATATACAAAATCTTTTTGAAAATCATAATTGCATTTAAATTATTAGGACTTAGTGACTTAACTATTTGATTTGTTTGTTTATTTGTGTTATTCCCTACAAAATGATAATATCCCCATAAAACCCCTAAGACATAATTTATGACGTTTCAGTCTACTAAATTTGCCTGTGGCTTTACTCAAGTCACAAATTGTATATACATTTTAAATAAAACAAAACATATATACAATCAATTCCCAGTGGATAATATTTCTGCATGTCACAACTGTCAGAGCAGTGCACAGATTCTCATTGGATACTGAGAAATATAAGAAATGTGAGTTGTGCATTTGAATAAATGGCCTTTGAAGCTTACTAATAACACCTGTGTTTCACTTTAGCAGGTAGTTGTTTATGAAAATCTTTTGACTTATTTGGGGTATAATAAACATTTTCTCCAGATCCTGAGCTTAAAGATAGGGAACATTTTTATGATATTATAATAAGAACTGTTGAATGCTGTAGGCATCTGTCATTGGGGTACACCATCACCAGCATAAAGTTCATTTATTGGGGTTCATTGTAGAATGACCGATGTAGATCTTCATCCCGTTTAGCCTGCTATAAAATCAAAGGCAGAAAAAGTCAGTAAAAGATGCCAGAAAGATGCAAAGCATGTCACATTTGGAAGGAAAGTTCAGTATGTGTGATATAATGTTCTTAAGAATGTCTGAAAAAAATATCTACCAAGAAAAGTAGTTCAGCTTTTATTTATTCATTTTAATTTATATATATATATATATATATATATATATAT